CAGATGGAAAGCTTTGCTATGAGATAAAAAAAATGTGCATGGTGTTTCCCACAAAATATAACAAATCTATTCATCGCACGCAAACAAGAGATCGGTTCTCTTTTATATATATAGCAATTAATATACTTGCAACTGAGAGCTAAGCTGAATTGCGAGGGACACAGCTCAACCTGTTCGAGTCGAAGGCTTTCTAAGGGCGCCTCTGCCAGCCACCTTATAACTCATTTCTGATCATGGAGCACAGCTACGATGGAAGGGTCAGTTAGGGGGATAATTCCAATCCACCCAGTCAACATTCCGTGTGGGTGGAAACCGGATGCCCGGAGAAAACCCACGACTTTCGGCAGAGCGTTGACTGACTCTTTTCACATAAGTGCCACGAGTCCGTATAGCGAGAATCGAAGAAGATACTAGAGTTCTTTCTATACAACATCGTAGACCATACAATGTAGTATAGTTACGCCATATAGAGCCGAAATTGTGTAATGTCCAATAATGCCTGTACACTCTTATATAATACCTCAGAGACTCGTGATAACACAAATTGTTTAGAAACCGCCAATCCATTTCACACTGACAGGTTTTTAAAGGCAGCCCGACCATTTTTGTTTCTTACCGACTATGGCTTGCGACCTGTTGCCTAAATTGCAGGTTGTTTTGAATATGCATGTAAATAAGCGTCTCTGTAGCCGCGTATAGCAAGCAACATCACGAAACAAGGAAAACTAATGCTTTACAGTACATAAATATCTTTCAGATGGGTTAAACAAGTCGATTTACGTGGACAATGGCTGGCTATCGCAAGGTATGATGCATTTAGTGTTTAATAAGTCAGTAACCGTTTATCGCTATTTCCATAATGTATGGTTTATGTTATAGTGTTTATTCCTAGCGTATTCAAGCGAACAAAAAATATAACTGTGTTGCCATATCTGTGTTGCTATATCAAAAAAGTTTTATGTGCTTACATGTGAAAATATATGTCGTATGCTATACATATACTAAGTTTTCCCAAGTTAAACATTTTGGATTTTAGTTACATATCAATTACGTGCTTAATTTGTCTGCAACAAAACGTAGTTTACTTTATGCATTGGTGATTTTTATTAACAGTTTTAACTGTAAAGTAAAGTTACTAAGTTACTAAATGTTACAATCTCGTAATGTATTCGTATGTAGATTCAATCTATGCCACTTTTTGTTCAAAAATTTGGAGTAGCGCCAATAAAAGTTTGATTATATATCGTTCATGTCATGCGTGGCTTAGTAACCTGCTAGACAATACAGTCTACAAAATGTCTTCATGATCATCTTGGTAGACAGGACAGTGTCTGATCGAGGTTTAATGTTTGTTAAATTAATTATCTTCCTTTCCACACACACGATAGCTTCAGAATTTTTCTTTGCCAAGTTTTATTTGCTGCTGTGTACGATTCACTATTTTCCTTGACAATTTTCGAAAATAAACTAAACTGAACAAACTTTAGTTCCACTTGTTGTACAGCTATGTCAACTTTAAGAGGTCTTCCCTTATATATGTTGACCCAGTGTTACTACAGGATGAACCCTGAACTAAATTTTTTTATGCTGGATAGCTCTATCAGTTCTAAACTGTTCTTCCTAGAGTTCCAGTAAAAGTCATCTCTTATTGATCCAGTGTTACTATGGAAGTATACCTAAACTAAACTAACTTTATTTATACTGGATAGCTCTATCAGTTCTAAACTGTTCTTCCTTGAGGTCCAGTAAGAGTCATCTTTTATTGATCTAGTGTTACTATGGGAGGAAACCTAAACTAAACTAACTTTATTTATGCTGCACTACCTCGATCAGTTCTAAACTGTTCTTCCTATCCAGTGTTACCGCAGGAGGAAGCCTAAACTAAACTAAACTAAACTAAACTAAACTAAACTAAGGCCCCGTTTACATGAGACCGGGACGAAGTCAAACCGGAATGGAAATTGAAATTGTCAATATCTTTACATGAGACCGTTACGAAAATCACAAAATTTTCAATTTATTTCCCTTGCCAGGCAATTTCTTTTTCAGATGGCTTTTGTTAGCATGTGTTGTTCCATTGTCAAGGTTATACAGCCGAGACCGGTCTGAAATGTATTTCTGTTTACATTCATCCCGGTCTGAATTCATGCCGGTCTGAAGTCAGTCGGTTCGGTTCAGCAGGCGGAATGACTTGAGACCGGTCTGAGTTATTTTCGTCCCGGTCTCATGTAACATCTATTATAAATAATACTGTGACCGAAACGAAATGGTCCCGGTTTGACTTCGTTCCGGTCTCATGTAAACAGGACCTAACTTTATTTAGAATCCTTTTCCGGCTGATAATTTCAGCAAAAATAAAACAAAAGTTATTCCGAATAAGGAGTGCATAATATTCACACACAATTTATTAAAACTGTATATTTCGAATCTAAATCAGATTCATCTTCAGCAGTGTTTTGCAAGATATGTCGTTATGACGACATATCTTGCAAAACACTGCTGAAGATGAATCTGATTTAGATTCGAAATATACAGTTTTAATAAATTGTGTGTGAATATTATGCACTCCTTATTCGGAATAACTTTTGTTTTATTTCTAACTTTATTTATACTGCATACCTCGATCAGTTCTAAACTGTTCTGCCCAGAGGGCCACTATGCTATTAGGGTCCTCAATATCTTTACTAGAACTAAGACTTCCTTGATAAATGACTTATTTTAGTATTCGTGTTTCTTTTTTCCAAGGAATTTAAGCTTTTGATGGATGCGCCATAGCTCTGAATATAATATAGCCTTTGCAACAAGATGGATCAATCTCACGATGACGAGAACAAGATCAGCGCGGGGGAAAACTCAACAAATTCGAAGAAGGTAGAAAATTTGGACAGCCCACAGTTCCAGGAAATGGTGCGAGGTTTTGTGGTTGAAAAAGAATTACTAGAAAAACGGCACAAAGACGAAATCGAGAAATTGAAGGAGAATTTTTCTAAGAAAGAGAATATTCTTTCCGAAAGCCATGGAGGAGGGCAGGTTCATGGTGAATCCAGTCAGTTTGGTCACAGTAGCAGTACCATGGTGGGCCAGTCGATGCAGTCGCAGATGATGGCGAATGGCACCAGGTACAGTGAAACAACTGCTTTACACAAGAATTTGCATTTCAAAGTGCTGCACTATTTTGAAAGCTATACAAAAATTCCAATTTGAAAATAATTAAGTATAAATAGCCGCTGGTAGAAACAACGTGAATTCTCGCATGAAAATATGAAACCTCGATGTTTGTCAAAGGCACTTGAACTTAAAATGAGTAAAATTGCAAAGTTTGGTTGCGAAATGTTGTAAAATGAGGAAAATATAG